AAGCTACATCAAAAGGTATGTCATCTAACTAGAACTTTGTAGTATAGGTGCTTCATAATATGCTAGTTAGGATGAAACCTTGGAATAGTTAATATTTGCATGTATAATAGAGAAAACATAGATCCAAGGTTTATAGGGTTGCATGTACACCATAAGAGTGTTAGAATGCTCAAAACCCAACACTTGACCTGTCGCCGGGTTAAGGCCGAGCACCAGCGTCCGCATGGCAAGTTGCAGCCACTTGAGGTTTCCCAGTGGAAGTGGGAACAGATTTCCATGGATTTTATCACCAAATTGCCAAGGACCGCCAGGGGTGTCGATGCAATTTGGGTGATTGTTGACCGGCTGACAAAGAGCGCTCACTTCCTTGCTATCAGTGAGAGCTCTTCCGCAGAGAAGCTGGCCGAGTTGTATGTGAGATAGGTGGTATCACGTCATGGAGTATTGATCTCGATTGTGTCAGATCGAGATGTACGTTTCACTTCCAGGTTCTGGAAGACGTTCCATGAGGAGTTGGGTACGAGGTTGCATTTCAGTACCGCCTACCACCCACAGACGGACGGACAAAGTGAGCGGACGATTCAGACGCTCGAGGACATGCTTCGAGCATGTGTGTTGGACTTCGGAGGAAGTTGGGACACGTACTTGCCGTTGGCTGAGTTTTCCTATAACAACAGCCACCATTCGAGTATTGGTATGCCTCCCTTCGAGTTGTTGTACGGGAGGAGATGTCGGACTCCCATTTGCTGGGGAGAGGTAGGGCAGCGCGTGATGGGTAGCACTGAGATAGTGCTTCAGACGACTGAGCAGATACATCAGGTCAGGCAGAGGTTGTTGACAACTCAGAGTCGCCAGAAGAGTTATGCGGATAGGCGACGATCCGAGCTTGAGTTTCAGGTGGGAGACTTCGTACTCCTGAAGGTGTCTCCTTGGAAAGGAGTGATCCGATTCAGGAAGAGGGGCAAGCTGGGGCCCCGGTACATTGGTCCGTTCAGGATGACCGCGAGGGTGGGCAGGGTAGCGTATCGTTTGGAGCTACCTGCGGAGTTGAGCCAGATTCATGATACCTTCCACGTGTCTCAGTTGAGGAAGTGTATGGCCGACGAGTCGGTGGTGGTGCCGCTGGAGGATATTCAGGTGGATGCGAGCCTGAATTATGTTGAGAGACCGATCGTGATCCTGGATCGGAAGATCAAGGTTCTGAGGAACAAGGAGGTGCCCCTGGTTCAGGTCCAGTGGCAACATCGGAGAGGGTCCGAGCTGACTTGGGAGCCGGAGTTAGAGATGCGGGAGCAGCATCCAGAGTTGTTTGCCGAGCGAGACTTCAAGGGCGAAGTCTGATTCTAGTGGGGGAGAATTGTAACATCCGGATTCCCAGGTATTCTATGTTATTAATTTATTTTGAGTTATGAGGAGGGACTCGACGAGTTGACGCTTAGACTCGTCGAGTAGGATCGCGATTTGTTGATTGGATTAATGAAGGGACTCAACGAGTCGATGGGTGGACTCGACGAGTCCGTGCTATGGACAGAAACCCTAAATCTTTGGGCTTGTGCCCTATTTAAGGGTCCTTATAGCCCTCAATTGCGGCTACCAGTCCAGAGAGAGAAACCCTAGAGAGCTTGAACGAGTGGTATAAGAGGGAGAACCTTTTTGATCCTTATTAGTGTGAGTTTGCAAAGAAGAAGGTGTTTCCAGCAAGAGGAGGTCAAAGGGATTGCTATTATGTGGATTTCCAGCTTGGATCTGCAACTTTGAGGTAGTAAATCGATCCCTTCTTCTGTTTAGTATGAGATCCTTGAATTTAGGGTTTTCTATACCCTTTTATTGGCTTGAAATGATGAGTATATTGTCCCTTTGAGTGTTAGACTTTGGATCTGGACCTTTAGAGGTCCAAAGAGCCTTATCCAACCTGCTTTATGTTGTTCCATGGAAGAAATGATCTTAGGTTGCCTTTTTAGAGATGATTTCACCAAGAGAGCCCTATGTGTGTTGCATGAGTGTAAAGGTCAGACCTTACGTGATTATTGTGAATGGGGAAGGCAGATCTATAGGTTAGAGAAGCGGATCTGACCTCAGAAGGTCATTTGAGTGTTGCCATGGACGCTACTCGCCGAGTTCATAAGTGGACTCGACGAGTCGAGTCGGGGTTGCCCCGCGATTCGTGACAGGTGTAACCAGTCGAGTGAAGGGATGACTCGACGTGCCAAGTGAGGCTAGAAGGATTATGAGGACCCGCATGGACTCGCCGAGTCGCCCATGTGCACTCGACGAGTCGGGTCAAAGTTTGACCGTTGACTTCAGTTGACCTTAGGGTTTTGGTCAAGCTGATTCAGGAGAGTTCAGGGAGGGGTAGGATGGCCTTCTACCCAATCTTTAGAGATGAGGCTATGAGAGGGTATTCATCAGGAATGTTATCCGTATGATAGGAGGAGGCTAGGTCGGGACGTCAAGCACGAGAGTTTATCCGACTTCGTACGAGGTGAGTCTTCTCGCTATACTGTACCTAAAGTGGTACCTATGTGTGACCGGAAGGTCTTATATGCGATGAGATGTATGTGTTGTATGCTGTTATATGATATGTATGTGTTATGTATGTTATGAATGATAAGGACCGGAAGGTCATCATGATGTGGACCGGAAGGTCAGGATGATATGGACCGGAAGGTCATTACGGGTAGGGCCGGAAGGTCTACCAGGGTTGTGGGACGGAAGTCCTCTGAGACACAGTGACCGGAAGGTCTTATAGCCTTGAGTGGCGTATGTGCGTATGTGGTATTTTGGGGAACTCACTAAGCATTTATGCTTACAGTTGTTGTGTTATGTGTTTTAAGTACTAGCGAGGATCGCGGGAAGGCTCCGGCATGATCCGTACACACTCATGGAGTTTATGTCTTGAGATTCTGGGATATGTTTGTTATGATAACATTGGATACATTATGTTTTGATATTACCTTATGAATAAAAGTATGTTTTAAAAATGAAAATTTGTTTTGGAAATTTACGTTGTTACATATTGAAACTAGAATTACAAAATAAGTTTAATATAGTAATCAAAAGCAAATTAAAACGTTTTAGCACTTGTGTACTTTGTAGTTGAAGTAAACATGTTTCTTTTATAAAACATATACATGAATAATATAATCGTTTATTCAATAAATTAATACAAACAACATGTATTAATAAAATAATAAAAATATATTTTATTCTTCTTTCATATAGGGAATGCACTTACAGTGCAATCCCTTCGTATTAGAGTTGCCAATAGGTGTCTATGTGTCATGTCACGGGTTGAACAATAAAAGAAAATGGTAAATGTCTGAATGAACTATAAAATGCATATTGATAACATAATCGACACGACCCATAATTAATTAAGGTAACACCTGAAAGACAAATATAATATACTTTTAACCATTTACATGAAAACACAAACTTATGCATATTTTTATTAACCATTGAGATTATGTATGCATATGATGACTTCCGCCCTCCGTCTCCACCACCATTTAACAATAAGGCCAACATTAAGTGTGCACAAAGACCCCACACCCTATCCTCCATTATCAACTGAAGTTGTGACTTTATCGCACGAGACCCAGTGAATTTTGGATTTATTGTCATACCCACCCCAGAGGAATCGGCGCCTAATCTTTTCCAGAGCATTCAACACCCCTAATAGGGCCTTAAACAGAGAGAGGTAATATGTGGGGAGGTTGCCAAGAACTGCTTTTAGTAAAGTGAGTCCGCTTTTAGTAAAGTGAGTCGCCCTCCGAATGAGAGGGTCCTAGCTTTCCAAATTGACAGTTTTGGAGTTGAATAGATCAATTATGGGTTTCCAAATTTTTAGTAAGTTTATGTTAGCTCTAACAGGCACGCTCAAATATTTGAATGGAAACGTTACCACTTCACATCCAAGAATACTTTCCCACATGCTTATTTCACTAGGGGATGCCCCGATGCCCGTGAGGACGATAGCTAGTCGAGAATCCAGGTCCTCCACTTTTCTCTAAAGCCCATTTGTGAGAGTATTGAGCCTAGATACTCCCAGTTGACCGATTCAAATGCTTTATCAAAGTCAACTTTGAATATGAATGCCTTTTTTGGTTTTTTTAGTCCATGAGTATATTCCGTTGACGATTAGCGGTCCGTCAAGGATGTTACGACCTTCAACGTACGCTGATTGTTCATCCCTAATAACACCATTGATCATATATTTGAGGTGGCATACAAGAATTTTAGCAACAATGTTGTACCTGATCACAATTAGGCTTATCAGCCTATAATCGCTAAGTAGATTGGGGTCTTTCTTCTTGGGAACTAGAGTGATGCGAGACGAGGTATAGCTACGAGCGAACTTGACATACATTTCAAAGTGTTTGCAAAATTCCATGACATCAAATTTCATGAGGTCCCCAATAGGTTTTTACAAATTTAAACATAAACTCGTCCGAACCTGGGGCCTAATCACTGCCGCAGGCCCACACGACAACCTTGATTCATTTAAAACAAGTATTTATGTTAGATAGGTTAGGGTTTAATCAAGTGGGAGAATTTAAAACTTTAATAATAAATGTGTTCGTGTATTTATGTGTGTTGGACACAAAGTATGTGTCACACTATGTCTTTCATATACGTTTAAACAATTATATATATGTATCATTCGTCTAAGATACAAAACACGAATTTAAAATTTAAAATTCGTGTCAGCAAGACTTAACACAAATTTTTGAAATCCCAATTTTTAAAATGCTATTGTAGCACATCATGTTTTTCGTTTGGTCCGATTTGAACAACTATATCAACTTTTTGCACCATTGACCATTAACATTTTACTGTAGATGTCAATTACACCATTGTGACCGCTTTTAGAAGTTTATCCGGTTTCTCATCCTACCTGTCATCCAATGTGTACGGTAAACTAATGGGAAACTGCCATGTTTTTTCCACGTTGACTCTACGTCAACTCCCCTGTTATACAAAAAACATAACACCTGTATATGGAACACCCCTACCTTCTTTCTTTCCATTTTCATGTAAGCTTTTCTCGACCAAAGAAAACCAAAGCAATGTCTCGTTCCTCGATCTCTTCTTCCAGAAACCCTCCCATCCAGATTGGTAACTTTAGGAGTTAGATGAGCTGAAGGCTTGTGGGTGTGAGAAGTCGGCGAAGGAACGAACGAGCTGGAAATATCACAACCCGGGAAGGCAGTTCTGGAACTGTTGCAACAATTTGGTAAGTTCTCATGGTCGTGATTTCTGTTAATGTTCAAAAATCATACAATTTATAGCATTTCTGATGTTTATATAAGCATAAGAAATCCCTAATAGTGTAATGTCGGTGATTATTATGAAAATTTTGAAAGGAATGATTTGTTTGTAGGATCCCTTTGTTTGTAGCATTTATGTGTTGTATCTAACTGTAAGATCTCATACGATTTGACAATGGTGTATATTTTTGTGTATATTTCAGACATCATTAAAAAGCTATGATTACTTCTTCTAGGAAGACGATGAGCTGCCTGAGGGGTACTACAACAACCTTATTAGAACATTAAAGCAACATGTAGATTCAAAGGAGAACTCTGTTGAACTGATCAGCCTTAGGAAGAAGGTTGTGGAGTTGGAGTTTCTGCTTTCAAAGGAAAAGTCATTTGTTGACAAGCTTGAGAAGAATATAACAAAGGAGAAGCAAGTTGTGATGATGCTTAACAACAAATTGGAAGCTTCCATACAGCAAAATTTCATGTTGAAAGTTTTGGTTGTGATGATTCTGTTGGGTGTTGCACTTTGGTGCTTTAAGTAGAAATGAATATTGTAGGATGTTTTGGTATATGTAGTTATCTTTTGGTGTTTATGTACTACTTTTGGAAACTTCAAAGACCCATGTTGGTTGTAGATCCCAACATTTAGCATCTTATTTTGGAAACTGCAAGACCCATTTGTATGGGAAACTTTGTAATTGTTACCTAATCTAACGACAACTTCATTAGTGGATAAAGTATTTGTTTTTTTTATGTGTGGACCACTATCTTTTTGTCAACTGTGGACCATATTGGTCATTAAAGTATACATAGTCTATTTTGGAAAATGTTAATATCAAACACATTGTCTACTTTAGTCATTAAAGTATATACACATAGAACCATATTGGACATTATCAGCCATGCAACATATAGCTTGACATATTTCAAAAAATAGCAATCAACTTTCATATTTTGTAATAGTGCATAAACTGCATAAAATACTTCCATTAAATACAAAAAATGCCCATAGTAATGGGCAGTTTTGTAATTGTATGTTACTGCATAGATTGTACTAATGGAAAACATAACAACTTCATAACATCAAAGTATCACAACATAACACAAATAAAAACATAAAACATATTAATCCTAATCTATAGGAAGTGATTTCTCTGTTGAATTTACTGGAGCATTATCATCCCCAACTCTCTTGCCCAATTTCACCTTTATGATTCCTTATGATTTTCTTTTCCTTATCCCCTTCAATATTTCAGAAATTGGCTTCACACGGATCCTCCTTTGCACTTGAACTTGGGCACTACCACCAGCTTCATCAACTTGACCATTAACAACACCATCTTGAGTTGGAGTAACTTGCACATCAATTGGAGTGAGTTGCACCTCCTCCTATTCTTGTCCTCCTGGTCCACCTTCATTAACCTATAAATAATGTTTCATTAAACTCAAATTAACATTGTTTCATTGACAATTAACATTAACATTATACATGTCCTCTTGTTTCATTGACATTACTCCATTATTTCCATTATTGCCACCTTCACTAACCTTTTGTTTTTTTTTTCTTCCTTGTGTTACCATCATTAGGTCCTTTTGTAGGGCAAGTAGGCTTATTGTGACAAGGCTCCTTGCAGATGATACACTTGATTTTTTTTTCCAACCTTAGATACCTTATAGCTAGTAAGTCTTTCAACAACACCCTTCTTCCTTTTAGTCACTGGCCTGTAAGGGCATTATTTTGCTAATAGGTGGCAAAAGTGGGATATAATATGTTTGTGGCCACATGTCACTCCCATTCATGGCTGTAAATCTATATTTGTAACTTTTTCATGTATGTGGTGGTACTAAACATCACATCCACATATGCTTCCACATCCCTATTTAGGTATGAGATACATGCTGTAGAATGCACACATTCGTACCTATTCAATTACCACAGCCTACAAGAACATGTCCTTCTGTCAAGGTCAAACTCAAATGCCTCAGCTGTTCCCCTTACTTCAAATTGGTTTATGCCACTTGCTAACACCTCAAAACGTCTCATGTGCTTTTTAAGCTCATTTACCCTTTCCTTTATTTTTGGACAAATCTGATTACCCCATTGTTGTCCTCTCACCTTCATATTGTACAATCTCTCCATCATGTACAATCTCAACTCTTCTAACATTGTTATAATTGGCTTCTTTTTTGCATCTACAATTACAACATTAAATCTCTCACACATGCCATTCTCAACTGAGTCACAACCTCTACCTAGTTGGTAGTATGCCCTTGACCAATTTTTTGGATCCTTGTCCATCAGGTACTTATGTGCCTCTGGGTTTAAAAGTTCTAATTCTTTCATTGTAGCTTTAACTGTATTCTCAGTTGATGCTTTGGATGCTCTCCAAAACAGTGTCTCATAGTGGGCCCCACTATATCTCTTAAGTAAATTCTAACAAATGTGTCTAGCACATTGTCTTTGTTCTACAAAAGGCATCATCTCCTTCACAACCTCAATCAACCCCTGTTAAAAAAAAGAATTTTTTTTCTTGATGTTATAATATGAAATATAATGAATTAAACAATCAAATAATAAAAACACATACCTTATGTTGATCTGACATTAAAGACTATCCATTACCTAAGTTTAAATGAAGATCGTCAATAAGAAGATCTAAAAACCACTTCCAATTCTCCTTGTTCTCAATAGACACCACTGTCCATGCAATTAGAAAGATTTTGTCATTTGCATCGCTACCTATAGCACAAAGCAACTCCCCCTTGCAAATTCCTTTCAAGAAACACCCATCAAGTCCAATTATTTTTCTACATCCTTCCATCCAACCTTTTTTCACACCATCAAAACACACATAGAACTTGTTGAGTATTTGAGATATTGAAACTGATCTGGCATGTTTAGTTATTTAGACAAGCCTTTTTAGGGCTTTATATTTTTGGTAAATATTTTATGTTCCCCATAAATAATCATTAGGTTAGCTTTTGATGTAAGCTTTTTCCTGTTTAGGGTTTTCTTTGTACGTTTAGATCCATATCAATATACACAAAACCTTTATCAGATTACTTGCATATTATGGTGATTGATTCTTGATTGTTCTTGATATTCCGCATTCGTCATCTCATATTTATTCCTAACAAGTGGTATCAAAGCGGGTTCTTGTAGATCTCAACGATTATTACAAGAAAAAGTAAAATATCTCGTATTATTGCAAAACCTTGTTCAGATCTGTTATCTTCTACGCATTCTATCATCTGATTTGTTCTTGATTCGTGTTTTGAAAGAGAAATTGAAGAATTTTGTGTTTATTCTCATATTTGTGTTCAAATCTGCTTTCTCTCTCTAAAAACCATCTCAGATCTATTTTCTCTCTCTTCGATTTTTATTTCTGGTTGGATATATGATGAACTATTCAGTTTCAAAGTTGTTATCTTCGATTAAAGACCTAGAAATGAAAGTTACAGATCCGAAATTTAGACTTTCAAATACAGATCATTGGTATCTTATTTATGGTCCAATAAAAAGTTCTCAAAGTGTCTTTGATTTGTATAATCTCATAGTAGATGGAAAGATTAATAAAGATGCATATTTGAAAAATATAGAAAAACGAATTATAAAATTTTTGGATGAAAATGAGGTTGTGTTGGAACAATTTCGTATTATCAAAAATCATTTGGAACGAGAAAAAGAAGAACAATTGGAGAAAGAAAGAAAAAGAAAAGAAGATGTTGTTCAAAATCAAAAGGATGTTCTTGGTGAAGTTCATAATATTCTTCATGTTTCTGAAGAAAAGATGACTCCAGATGTTCTTGTTGAGGGAGAGTCAAGTAGTTCAAGTTCTTTAGAAGTGTTACATTCTGAATCTGGTACTTCATAAGACGAATCTCAAAGAAATTCTTCTGAAATCATGAAAGTGAAGAAGTTTTGTTCTATTGGAACTCAAACAGATGATGTATTATGTTCTGATGATGTTTTTGAAGGAATGATTCCTTACAGAAGGCCAATAATTCAAGATGTTCAGATTTACCAAACTCCAAAAGTTTGTGTTCCAAAGGCTTGTGATATTCAGACTCTAAAATCTAATGAACATGTTCAGATCCGAAAATCATCTTTGAAGCCTTATAATCTGAAAAGAAAGAAGAAGAAGAAGAAGAAGAAAATGAAGAAGGTTTGGATGCCCAAGGTACAAGTCCCTCAAGCTTGTGAAAAAATTCAGAAAGTTGAAGTCAAGCATGTTCAAAGAAACTTCAATTCTCATTTTTCTTCTGATAAAGATGTTAGAAGTTGGAGAAAAGAGAAAAGAGTATTTGGTTGGTTTAATGAAATTTTCGGAAAATTTTGTTTTCTAACTAAAAAGCAGGTATTATTTCCAGAAGATGATCGATTTTTCTTCAAATAAATGGGTGTGCAAGAAACCAACTTCAATCTTGAATCTTAAATGGGTACCAAACGATTCATAAAAGTTTTGTCCTTTATAAAAAAAGGACAAAACTGACGAAAATTCAATAAAAAAGGATGAAATTTTGAAGGATGAAATCAATTTTTATTGGTTTTTAATGGTTGGAAATGACAAAAAGCTGAAAAAGTTGAAAAAATAGGTGAAAAGTGAATTTTTCTGCAAAAAGAGGGCTGCCATCTGACACATTTCAACAAAAGAGGTGCAAGTTGTCAGTTTACTGCAAAAAGAGGGTCAGATTCGGAATTATTGCTAAAAAGATGTTACTTTCGGAATTTGGGTAAAAACTGCGAGTTCGTTGAAACTTTAAGGGTTAAGTTTGGAAGTTTGGTAAAATTGTTTATGATCGTTTACTGTAACCGGACTTCAAAACTGAAATCAAAGGTTCAAGGAATCGGAAATCACCAATCGGAAATTGATTCTAATTCAGAAATAGAAATCGGAGACTGTTCTGAAATCCACATCTCAAATCGGTATTTTGATCGGAAGCTTCAATCGAATTCTAAATCGGAACTTTTGAAATCGGAATTAAGAAACGGAATTCGGAGTTTACTGTTCATATTCCGAGCCTTCGGAACGATTCGCACTCGGAATGACACGGAAAATTGATTCGGAGTGCAATGCATTCGGAGTTCAATGCCTCAAAAATCAAAAATCGGACTCGTATTCGAAAATGATCTCTGAATCGCTCCGAGAGCTCGGAGTCGTTCAGAGTTAAGAATCCTTTTCTGATTCGGAAGTCTTTTTTATTCGGATTCGGAGTTACTGCAACCGTCGGAACAAACACATTGCGATCGGAATTTCAGTTTATGCACTCGCATGTGTCGATCTCGCAGTCAATGCGTTTCGCTTTTTATTTCGCAATTAGGACTGTTGCTTCCGATATCGGAATCGGAATTGATCGTATTGGTTATGGTGCGCACTTGATTTGCGAATGAAAACGTTTTCATTAGATTTTGACTTTTTAAAGTCAAACAGTGTGTTCCATCCGTCCAGATGATGAAGACGCTTCAATTTAGAACTTCAGTCCCCAAATGTTTGCAAACTTTGTAGTTTCAACCCAGTTCTCACAATTTCTTTACAATTTT